TTTTCTATTATAGTTTTTGTTAACATTTTAAATTCAAGAGATAGAGAAGTAAATATGAAAATAAGAAATGTTGCCATGGCAACTAGATGAAATAAAATAAACTTTCTTTTTATATTTCATTTTATTTCAGTTAATGTATACTATTTATTTCAAGTCACTATTTTTGTAATTGTTTTAGTTCTAGTTAACTATATTAACCCAGGATGGTAGTAAAAACAGGCACCAGCAGTTAATTTTTTATTTTAATTTTATTGTAACCTGGTCATGTTGTGACTTTGATTACAGGGTTTGTAAGTGATTCTGTCGTATGAGCTCCATGCTGACGTGTGTAATAAGATCAGAAATGGACTTCAGTGGCCTCTGTGAACTTTGAGGTCAATCTATAAGCTGGTATATTTATTTGTTACAACTTTACTGTCTTTCTCTTCTGGGAAAATAAACCAAAAATATTGATAACTCATCCTGCACTGTACAGAATTTTGTCCAATCAAATTCTCTCTAGAATGAGAATGTCCCGCCCCCAAAACCACAGAATAACAAATCAAGGTTCAGGGCTGGAATACAAATAAAAATGATTGGCTATTTATGAAAGAGGGGTGAGCTAATTTGATGCTTCTTAACTTCCTGTTTCAATGGGAAATATGTCAACACAGGAAATAAATCCGTGCTTATCAAGGGAATTAGTGAGATCTGCATGAAAACACATGATGAAATCATTTTCAATATTGTTTAAACTTACAAATGTAATGTCGTTTAACAGTATAATAAAGCATTGCACTTTCTATGAGTGTTTAGCGTTGAGTGTCAGAGTGAAGGATGCAGAGGTTAAATGGTGTGTGTGTGTGTGATGAGGGTCATTGACAGATGATCATGCTGGAGTCAGTAGAGGACAGAGATCTCCAATCCTGACTCAGCTCATTAAAGTGGTCCGTCTGAATCTACTGACACAATGAAAGTTCTCACGCTTCTAATCCTGATCATCTGATGTGGTGAATCTCACTCTTTCTGTGTTTCCTCCTCAGCTGTTCAGCTCGAGAGTGTGTTCGCTCTGTGTGTGTGTGTGTGTGTGTGTGTGTGTGTGTGTATCGAGTCAGACTGAACAGCTGATATCACAACACACACACACACACACACACACACACACATGTTTTGTTTACATTCTCTGAAGCGTCTGATCTGGAATATTTCACTAAAACTTAACTAACATGTTGAAGTGAAAGCAAAAGTATAATGGAAGCATGAGAATTTGAATATTTAACATGAATATTTTATATATATAAGTCAAACAAACTTGAGAAAGGACAAAAAGGAAAGAGGGACAGAGAAATAGATGTCTTTTTTTTTTTTTTTTGCTTATTTTATTTCTTGTTTTTTACAATATATATACACACTACCAAAAGATTTGGGTTAAGATTTTTTGTAATGTTTTTTAAGAAGTCTCTTCTGAATACCAGGTCTGCAATTATTTGATCAAAAATACAGTAAAAACTGTGAAAAATTATTACAATTTAAAATTTATTTCTATTGTAATTTAAAATCTAATTTATTGCTGTGATCAAATCTGAATTTTCAGCATCATTACTCCAGCCTTCAGTGTCACATGATCTTCAGAAATCATTGTAATATGCTGATTTGCTGCTCAAGAATTATTTCTGATTATTATCAGTGTTGAAAGCAGTTGTGCTGGGATGTGTAATTTTATAATGTATACATCAAAATGAGCCTTATTTATATATATATATATATATATATATATACAAGATAGACCTTTCAGAGATGGTTCATTATTTGGATGTGACATAAAAATGGCCTGTGATTGGATTATGTAGGTCAGTTGGCCTCTTTGTCTCTGTTGTCAGTTTTTAACCAGAATAAGCTGTGCTGTGGAGCAGACATTGATAATATACATTGGACAGATGATAGAACAGCTGCAGATGTGGATCTTCAGAACATTCATTGTCTTCCAGCAATTCGACTTCCTGCCATATGCTTGTGCTTCCTGTTTCTATTTCCACTGGTCTGGTTTTGTCAGTCCCACCCATGTCTTTCTTTTACAATAGCTGTCTTTCACAAGTTCCGTTTCTGTGTCAGATCTCTGGATACTTTAATGCTCTCTGCTTGGGAACATGATGAATATGTACACAAAGGATCCATGCACAGATCTTGGGTGGTGTGAAAAACAGTTGCTAAACCGAGTAAATGATCTTAAAAATGAGCAGATGTGTTTTTATAAGTGTAAGCGGGAGCGCAGGGCCCTTGTGTGTGTTATTGTGGATGTGTACTGGCAAGATGGTGCTGCTCCAGTTGTAAATCCTCTTTGCTTGGCCAAGATTCAAGTATTGACTTAACACCAGATTAAACTCTCCCTTTCTCTCTCTCTCTCTCTCTCTCTCTCTGTCACCTGGTGTGAGTGGGGCATGTCGTCCCACCCAGAGCAGTCATTATGTAATACAAAACCAAATGGAGGAGTAAATATAAAAGCAAGTGTGTGAAGCTCTTGAGTAATGGTACTTTGATGCTGTAATGCTGGAAAAGAGGAACAAGATGGCGCCGCAAATGGCAGCCAGGACGCTGAGCTCCGCAATTCTTCTATTGTTTTGTTTGTTTGTTCTGTGTTTTGTCATTCTTCTTCTATAAGTTTTACCAGAGACGAACTCCTTAACATAAGTATTATTTGGGGGAATTTATATTTTAAATGGGTGGTTCATTGCGATTTCACTTTTTTAACGTTAGTTAGTGTGTAATGTTGCTGTTCGAACATAAACAAACGAAGTTGAAAGTTCAATGCAAACGGAGATATCGTCTTTTAAAATTCTGGCAGTTTACAAAAACGGCTGGTAGGGACTTCAATAAGTTACTTCCCGGGTTCGTGACATCACAAACCCAGATAAACCCCGCCCTCGGGAAAAAGCCGCAAAGGGGGCGAGGCCATGCTGCGCTGCTTTAGAGAAGAGGAAGAGAAAACTAGAGAACTGTTCCAATTATACACTTATTTTCACATAGCTATGAGAAGCGTTAAACATGGACATGTGTGAAGTTGCCGTACTGTATTAAAGCTTTTATCAGGATAAAACCGTATGTTAAAAGCTAACATAAGCAGTAGCAAATAACAAATAACAGCGTATCTAAAAGCATGAGACAACAACAAAAAAAAAACATAGGCCTACCATTAAAAGCCGTGCTTTATCCTCTGCTTCTTAATCGGGCTCAAACTGATAAGCGATATTAACGACGCCGTTGTTTACAATACAACCGGAGCACATGCCGCTGAGGTGAGGGGCCGGACGTTTAGACGCACACTAGAGGCGGTTTAGCCAATCACAACACACTGGGCTAGCTAACCAATCAGAGCCCATCGCCTATTTCCGAGGGAGGGGCTTCATAAAAGAAGGAAATGATCAGTGCGTTTCTCAGAGAAGGGACAGAGCGGTGTGGAATAAAGGTAAATTATGTGAAAAATAATGCGTTTTTTAAAAACGAAGCATTAACACATGTTAGACTGCACCCCATAAACACAATCAATCCTAGAAAAAAAACAGTGAACCACCCCTTTAACTGAGTACTACTAGAACTGAATATTTACATAATTACTTTTTGAATGAAAAATGAATTGATTAGTTAAGTTCTAAAGCTATGAAAGAAAATTTACCGTTTAATTTTAATTACACTGTTGCTGAATTGCTGAAGTTTTTATTTTGACTAGATACTTTTGTCTTTTAAGTAAAAAGAATTTACCAAATTAATAAATTAGTAATGCAAACATACATATAGGGGTGTGCGATATATATCGTCTGCGATAATATCGTAATTGTTGTTTTAACGATGTGCGATTTGACATTATCGAGTATTTTGCAAAAAAACTTTCAAAACAGCCCTACAGAGTGCACGCATACATTACATGAAGTCTAGACTAGTGCGCGTGCGCATTTAGAGTGCATTCTTTCACTAGATGATTCAGTCTATTACAGTTCATTTAGAATTATCACAAATTCAAGACATGGGGGCAGAAAATGTATACTATGATGCATTTTTGCTATTCGCAATTCAGAAGCGAGATCGCGACCACGCGGAGGAGCTTCAGCACGCGCTACATGAAAGCCCTGTTTAATTATGATAGAAGAAAGAACTAAACATTCAAACATCTGCTTACACTTTAGGCCTGTGGCTGTTTTATTAAGCTATATGCATTACGAATTATCACATAATTCAAGATAAGGGGGTTGGAAAATTTATATATTTATATCAATTCATATAGTTAATATCACACGAAGAGTGAGAAGCTACACAAGCACAAGTGGAATGTACAAAACATAGAGTCATGAAATAATAATTTAAGTAAATATAATGGGCGATATATTGCGTCACCAAAAATTATTGAGGTCATGTACATATATCAAGTCGAGTCGATATATTGATTATTGCGACAGGCCATATATATATATATATATACATATACACTACAAATATAGAAATACATAATACTAATAGTACTATATAATAGTATAATAGCATAATTCTAAGAGTAAAGGAAGTAAGAAAAGAAACAGATTGGAGGTGAAAGATGAGAGGAGAGACAGATGGACTGGTGAAGCAGAAGCAGACAGGACTTTATGAATTTGATTGTGTTTGTGGCTCTCTGTGTCTGTGCTGCCGCCGCTGGTGAAGCAGGTGAACTGTGTCATGTCGCAGTTTGAATGAGTCAGTCGGGGGTCGATGTGACTGATCTGCACTGACTGCAGCGTGAGAGAGCTCACTGTCCTGCCTGTCATCAAGCAGTATGTTTATCTGCTGATCAGGAACACTAAAGTTTGTCGTGTTTTGATAAAAAGTTTTGTTTGCTTAACATAACTGATGTAAAATTTGAATATCATATTAAATCATTGTCATAAAAATCATTGGAGTAATTATAAAAATATATTATAACATTTATATTCTCCATTTGAAAAGTCATTTCACATTATTTTTCACATTACTAACAACTTCCTTTGCTCCGCCCACAGCTCCCCTCTCTCCCTCCCTCCCCCCACTGGGCTGGTTGCCATGGAGAGCTCATCAGTAGCATCAGCGTCGTCAGAGGCAGGAAGCACGCGCTCACAGGAGATAGAGGAGCTGGAGCGCTTCATCGACAGCTACGTGCTGGAGTACCAGGTGCAGGGACTTCTGAGCGACAAAAACGAAACCGACCAGGATGTGGACAAGACACCGTCCCACATCTCACAGGTAAAACATGCCCCATCCCACACTGCACAGGTAAAACTAGAGATGCGCGATCGACCGGCCAGGGACCGGAATTAGCCGATTTTCCTCATGATCAGCTGTTCAGTCTGCCGATTCCGAGCCGGTCTGTTTTGACGTCACACTTACGGCGACTGATAATGTATTGATGTCGTGTCACATGAGTCTCACTCAGCCTGATTGAGTGTGGGTGAGAGACTCGTGCAAAAATCAAAATGAGCGCAACAGCACACACAGAAAGTTATAGATGCATACTGCTGTAGTAAAAAAAAGAAATGTATAATATATCATTTAGGTATGCAACATTACATGATTGCAATGTGGTTTTATACAATAGTAGTACAATAAACAAGAAGTTAAAATTAAGTGACTTACATTTTAGACACAATATTGACTGTTTTTACGCAATTTCGCTGATGAAAATAGTTCCAATCAAAGCCACAGTAGAACTGTTTTGTGTCTCCGAGCAAACTGAACGAATCCACGTTTTTGAACGAATCAAGTAAGTCAATGATTCAGTAACCCATTCGTAAAGACGGTAGTCACTTGTCTCTGAATGAATCAGCCGTGGAAAGATGGAGTTTGTTCATACTGATTTCATTTGAATGGTAACAGCTCTACAGTTTCTTATTATTCTAACTGAATTAATTTAAAGGGGTCATATGATGCGATTTCAAGTTTTCCTTTCTCTTTGGAGTGTTACAAGCTGTTCGTGAGTAGATAAGATCCCTAAAGTTGCAAAGACTAAAGTCTCAAACCCAAAGAGATATTCTTTATAACAGTTAAGACTCGTCCACGCCTTCCTAAAACGGCTCGTTCTAACACGCCCCACATGTCTACGTCACGATGTGGAAAGATTTGCATAACGCCAAAATCAACACGTTTCAGAAAGGCGGGGCATAGAGGGGAAACAATAATGTACAGTATGTGGAAAATGTGTTTTTTGAACCTTAAACCGCATAAACATTTCATTACACCAAATACACAAAACAATGTTCTTTTTAGCAGCATCATATAACCCCTTTAAACAATGTAAGAATTTGATGTGAAAGATGACACATTTAATAAGGTTAGTGAAAAAATGACAATTTAAGAAGTTTTGTTAAATAGTACAGCAACTTTTTTTCAGTTAATTGTTATTTCTACCTCTTTTCTAGTCACGGAGCACTTTATTTTGAGAGTTGTTTAAGTGAGAGAACATCTGTTACTTTGTCCAGATTGGGGGAATTGTAATGTTGAATAATTTTTATTATGTAAATGATTTTTGCATTAAAAAAATATAGATTTTTGTTTGTATATGCAGTCAATTATAGTTTTTAGAAAGAAAATCGGAATCGGCAAAAATCGGCATCGGCAGGGCACACTTACAAAAAATCAGAAATCGGAATCGGTGCATCTCTAGGTAAAACGCACCCAGTCCTACACCTCACACCCTGTCCCACACTTACAGGTAAAACACACCCCGTCCCGTGCACCTCAAAAGCTGTGTTGAAGATGATGTACTGTAATTCTGTTTTACTAAGTAATAATCAAAACAAACAAATAAATCAAATTTGACACTAATGGTGTCTCCCTGTCTCTCAGTGGACAGAAGACTGCAGTGATAAGATTGACGGGAGCTGGTCGTCCTCACGGGGCAAGGGCTCGTCCAAACCAGTGAGTTTTTCATGTGTGTGTATGTGCGTCTGATCCATAACTCTTCAAAAGTCATTGGTCTTATTATAACTGATGAAGCTGTGAAAGCATCTGTTGCAGTCGCCTCCGGTGCAGAAACAGTGTTAGTGTTGAAGATGTCTAGAAATTGACTGGAGGTGTTCAGACACAGATGTGTTTGTCATCAGAAAACTTCACAGACAAGTGTATTAATGGATGGACACAGAAAACAACAGAAACGTCAAACTAGTGCTAGGTCCCAGTTCACATAATGTCTGTCCTGAATAGTGCAAGGTTAGGGTTAGAGCGTCCCAAATCATAGCTGAAAATAGTGCATCACAGGTGCCTAGATGGCATGCTGTTTGTCAAAGTGTAGCTAGATGCTAATGTTAATATGAAAACGCAAACAGTAAGTGCACTGTATGCAAGTATTTCTAGATTGCGTGCATCATCATTTAGAAACTGCAATTCGTAACAATGCAAGAGTGCCATAAGAGGCGCTATATAGTTAAAAATAAGAGATTGTCATTTCCTGACAAACTTAGCATTTTCTCATAAAAGCTTTTGCATTCTTTGTGTTCAAATGTTTGCGAGCGAGTTTCTCGAGAAAGTGCAAAAATTTGCGAATGAATGCAAAAGCAAATATATTACAATTTTCCTTCCCATGTAATTTTTTTTTCTCTGTGGGGTCTCTGTTTTATAGCTTTTGTGAGTCTGTTTCTGGTCAGTTTTCTCTTTCATCTCAAGTACTTTCGATAGTTTGACAAGTGTTTTGTTGCGCAAGAGATGATCTGCTGCAGTTCTTTCGTTCTTTATACAATATATGGAAGCTTGTTTCTGCCACAAGCTAATATATATCAATTAATATCTTTGTTCTTATCTTAGTTCATATCACGCGATTCTGAGTTTATATTTCATATGCGTGATTATCCAGACTGATGCATCACTGTGTTTTGAATGTTCCCTTATTAGTGACACTGGAGCAGACTAAAGCTGTCAGCCATATGCTTAATTTGTGTCTTTATTAAATATTAAAGACGGCACATATGAGAAGGTTAGATGCACTGTGTGCTGCGTGAATGTTGTGAGTAAGTGTTGTTTTCCAGTGTGTGAGAGAGCATTGTGAATGACACAGGTCTGAGGTCACGTGATGCGATGAGGTCACTGAACGCGTGCGTGTGTGATTATGTCACTGCTTTGCTGCTGCACAAGCTCAGTAGCGTCTGATGAACCGTTGCCTGTTTTGACTGAACTGAAAACTCATTTGACATACTCATCATGCATGACATGTTGCATATATTGTTCTATCATTACATTTACATGTAGGGCTGCACAATTAATCGAATTTCTAATCGCGATTACAATTATGGATGCCACAATTACGTAATCGTTCAAAGCGGCAATTAATCGTTCAAAGTCCACTTATGTTATTCTGCGTGCTTAAGATGCGTTTTTTTCTTTCAACATGTTATCTTAAGGGTTTTTCCCATTATTTTAATTTTAGTATGACATTATAATACCATTCATATTTATAATTTAAAGAAGCAACCAATCCGATGTCTTAGTTGACATTCGAGGCTTAATACTATAGTAAAGCACTAACGTTTTTTTCAGTTAGAGAGTTTTCAGCTTGTTTATTTTCAAATAAAAATACGGCACGCAGTTGCATCAAACAATCGTATAAACGTCATTCAATATAAATTGTGATAATTGTAATTAATAATCGCAATTACAATTTCAAAGGAATAATCGACAATTATGATTTTTGTCATAATCGTGCAGCCCTATTTACATGTTTAGCTCTGTCAGAATTTGAGTGTGTGCGTGGGTGTGTGTGTGTGTGTGTGTGTTTGTGGTACATTTGATCTACAGGCTTGACACCATATTTTTGCAATTTCTTTTGTTATTTCCTAATAGTTTTTTCTTCATTGTCAGTTTGTCCTTTTCAGTTTAGTTTTCATTTGTTTTTTAACTGGATATTTTTTGTAGTGTTTTCTAGATTCCATTTAGTTTTAGTTTAGTTTCAACATTTTTGAGTTTCCAAAGTTGTAAGAAACTCATTAATTTGTGCTTATTTTATGTTATTTTATTTATTTTGGAGTCATGAAAAATGTTTAGTTTTTCTAATAGTGTTAGTTTTTTTTATTTCAGTTAATGAATTGAATTAATTAACACTGACATAAACACACACACATCAGCTTGAAAAGATTCCTGATCACTTTTTAAAGGTATCCTGTAGATGTTGAATGATTGAGTAAATGTATCCATGTTAACATCCAGCGTCAGATGAATCTGAATGAATCTGGTCTCTCTCAGGATGATTGGGAGCACAGCAGTAATGGCAGCACCGGTTCTAGACCCAGTTCTGGTTCTCGACCCGGTTCTGGTTCTAGATCGGGCAGCAGAGGACGAAACAACCAGTTCAGAGCCCCAGCGAAGGTGACGTTATGTGTATATATTGATGTCATCAGGAATTTTTTTTTCAATGTTTTTAAACTTTCACAATGTGTGTGTTTTAGAATGGAAACAGAGACTGTTCTTTCGACGTTCTGGGAACGGACATTTGGGCTGCAAACCTGGACTGTCATGGGTGAGATTCACACACTTTTAATAAATCGAGCCATTAAATAATGACATATAATAGTAGGGCTGCACGATTAATTGACATAAAACCAAACTCGTGATATGGCTTAAAGGGTTAGTTCACCCAAAAATGTAAATTAGCCCACAAATTACTCACCCTCAAGTCATCCTAGGTGTATATGATTTTCTTCTTTCAGACGAATCCAGTCGGAGTTATATTAAAAATTGTCTTTGATCTTTCAAGCTGATTTAATTAAACAAAGTCTATAGAAACACACAGAGTTCATTTACTTCTTTGTTCAGTGAATCAAGTAAAACAGTCTTCGATTAGTCGATCCAGACTGCTGAAATGTGTCCATATTTTCAGCGGTCAGTAAATATTTTCATCTGCTCTGGTTCTGCTTGTGCTTTGCAGTGCTGCTGACTCGCAGTCTAATTTAAACCTCGTCACGGGCTAAATTTAATTAATGAGGCCGTCACCTTCAGTCCTCTCACTCTCTCACACACACACACACACTAGAGGCTAGTTCTTCTTATATTAGATTTGAGCTGCGTGTAAACATCTGTGTTAACATCAAATCAAAACTGACCATGAGGTACTGTTCAAAAGTTTGAGATTTTGTTTTTGAAATTAGTCTCTTCTGCTCACCATGGCTGCATTTGTTTGAAGAAAAAAGAATACAGTAAAAGCAGTAATATTGTGAAATGTCATTGCAATTCAAAATAGCTGTTTTCTATGTGAATGCATTGTAAAATGTAATTTATTGCTGTGATCAAAGCTGAATTTTCAGCATCATTACTCCAGTCTTCAGTGTCACATGATCCTTCAGAAATCATTCTAATATGCTGATTTGCTGCTCAAGAAACATTATGATCATCAACAATGTTTAAAGCTTCATATTTTTGTGGAAACTGTTTTACATTTTATTTTTCAGGATACTTTGATGAATAGAAAGTTCAAAAGAACAGCAATTTAATGCATCCTTGACAAATAAAAGTATTCATTTCTTTAGAAAAAATACATACTGAGCCCAAACTTTTGAACATCAGTGTTTTTCTAGATTGTTCAGTTTAGTTTGCAGGTTGCAAACGCTTTAATTCAGAGTTACGCCACTATAATCCGTTCAGAGCTCTATATCGCCTTTCAAAACAAGCTCTGAGGTTGTCTTGATTTATTCAGCGTATTTTAGGAAGAAAAAGTGCCTGAGCTAATTAGCGTCTTTACAGAGTCTTGAGTGTGTCCAGAGTTTCAGCTGATTAGCAGAGTTTTACAGCCCGGATCAGGTAGAATGAGCTTGTCACAATGCATGTATAAAAAAAAAAAAATTGGGGGGAGTAAAATGTGACTTTAGGACCTTAGTTATTTCTAGAATAGAATTTCTATAGTTTTTGTATTAATGTTGTGTTTTGTGTTCACAGAGGCGCTACGTGGGACATGCAGCCGGAGAAACTGGATTTCTCACAGTTTCACAGGAGGCCGTACAGAGGGACACCAAAACACCTCCCGCACATCGACCGAGAGGGGTGAGACAGACGATAGCTTCAATAACACTGACCTCAGAGAACCGGTCTGAATCACTTCACAGTAATGCACTGAATGCATTTACACAAGTATATTTATTTGTATGTAAATCTGCATGTCGGGAGTTTTCAGTGTTCAGGATTGTTGTGAGCTGTAATGGGGTGTGGCTGTGTGTTTATGTGGCACTCGGCTCCTTACTGCCCTCTATTGGATGAATGAGAAATGCATGAGAGAATCCTACTGTATCATATTTGCTAAATATTTCTAAGGCGTCTAATTAAATGATCAACATGATCAAACCTTTGATGCAAAATCTGTTGCACTCAATCTACTCCATGCCTTCTGTCAACTGATTGATAGTTTAGACCTTTAGCAAGTGAAAGGCCTTTTAGTATAATTGTACAAATGTCCACCTTCAGCTCATGCTTCACGTGTCATGTTTTGCTGTGAACATATATATTGTTAGCAATATTTCAAGTTACACTTACTGGACACTTATCATTTTGTAGACAAATTGTTCAGATGCAAGTCTAAAATACGATCATCAGTCTTTTGAGGAATGTTTATTTGTTCAGCTCAGTCATCTTTGTATTGTATTGCATTATATGTTTTGATAATCAATCAAAACAAGCATTTAAATATTATCTTACTGAGACATATTATTGGCAGATATAGAGTGACGACTGACTATTTCTATCATTTTATGTAAGTATTCGCTATACAGTTATAAGGATCTCATTGATTTGCAATACAAGCATCAGAATTTCTTCACTTTTTGTCCATATAAATATCATCATCTGCACAAAATTGAATATTTTCGCTCCGTTTGGGCTTCTGAAATAAACTGAGCTGGTTTTTCCTCCATGTTCTCACTACATCATACTATATGAGCCATAAAAGCCTGATGGATCAAATATGACACCCAACAAAAAACACGTACAAAATATAAAATATATATTTTTCCCGAAAGGTTAAAAAAATTATATTTGATCATTATTATTTCATATGTCAGGCTTTACAGAGTTACCTTTTATGGCCTGGTTTATTTATTTAGTTAGTATGGAAACTTAAAAGCCCATCATTATACATAACAGCTTATTTGTTGTTGCTTATATGTTAAAAATTTTACCTAAGCCTGCAGAGTATTGTCTGGCTGAACATTGTCATGTATTGTCTGTCTGTTCACAGGATGGTAAAGGGCAAATTTGACGATGATGATGGTATTGACCTGGACAACATGGAGAAATTCCTGCCCAGCCTGCCGGTAAGAAACTATCTCAAGCTTTTACTCATCCTTCAGCCTTCTGGAGTCTGTCTGCAATCAGGAAAAAAAGATGTGAAGCAGAGATGTGTTCTGCTGTGTACCATCGGTGTGTATAGAAGAGCTCTCTCTGCTGGAGAGATGCTGGAACATGTTTTATTTGAACTGATCCAACACTGACATCTAGTGGTGAAGTCATGATATGACAGTGTCTATTACTGGATTTGGCTCATGTAGGACGCTCGTTTCTGCTGAGGAATGTGCTATTTACACTGAGAATGGTATGAATTACACCAGCCTTCTGAGTTGGTGTTAGTTTGTCTGTCTAATTCAAGCTAAGTCGAGTTTGTCTACGTGTCCTCTTGTTCTGAGACACACAATTAAGTGTTTTAATGCAGTTCTTCCCAAACAGTATGTGAGATTATGAAGTTGCTACAGCAGATTATATATGTGCATTGATTATTAATTTTAAGGCGAATTTTAGTAATGAGTTTAGCTAGATACTAACATGCAAAATAGCCATTACATTAGTCTGAAAATTAATGTTCATGTATTTGTGAACTGCTGTAGCAACTTCAGCTTCGCATTCACCTCCATTTACCTACAGAAGGAGTCAAGAGAGAATGATGATAAAAGGATATTTCAAAACAAAAGAAATTATGATGTGGTGGCACTGTTGACCAGGGTTATTAAAGTTAACTAAAAACAAGTGCTGTCAAACGATTAATCGCATCCAAAATAAACGTTTTTGTTTACATAATATATGTGTGTGTACTGTGTATATTTATTATGTCTATATAAATACACACACATGCATGTATATATTTAAGAAAAATATGCTATGTTTATATATTAAATATATTTATCTGTAATATAAATAATATAAATATATACATGTAAATATTTCCAAAATATATACTGTGTACACAGTACACACACATATATTGTGTAAACAAAAACGTTTATTTTGGATGCGATTAATCGTTTGACAGCAGTACTAAAAACCATTAAATATTAAACAAAAACGTATTTCAGCTAGCTGCCAAGGCAACATTTCTCATTTTCATTTAGTTACTAACTTGATGTACCAAAATAACTCAAACAAAAACTGAAACGGAAAGTAAATGAAAAACTATGTGGACATATATTTAAGAAAAAAAACAAGCAACAAAATTACAAAACTTTAAATTAAATTAAGCTGAAAATAGAAAAAAAAACTATTAATAAAAACTACAATGATGCTAAAATAACAAAGCTGTTAGCTGTTACTCATCTCCTGCTTTTCCATTAGTGGAGTGGCGCCATCTAGTGGTTTCATAATGTCATCACCAATAAACTGTAATGTAGCATAGATTTCTTTTTCTTTCTATCTTTTTTTTTCTTTGTGCTGTGTCTGGCCGCCGGTGAGTTTTTCGATCCACCCAGCAGGATGTTGTTAACGTGGCAGCGGCTACTAAAAACCATTAAATATTAAACAAAAACGTATTTCAGCTAGCTGCCAAGGCAACATTTCTCATTTTCATTTAGTTACTAACTTGATGTACCAAAATAACTCAAACAAAAACTGAAACGGAAAGTAAATGAAAAACTATGTGGACATATATTTAAGAAAAAAAACAAGCAACAAAATTACAAAACTTTAAATTAAATTAAGCTGAAAATAGAAAAAAAAACTATTAATAAAAACTACAATGATGCTAAAATAACAAAGCTGTTAGTAGTATATCAGTATGTACTTTCTCATCTCCTGCTTTTCCATTAGTGGGGTGGCGCCATCTCGTGGTTTCATAATGTCATCACCAATAAACTGTAATGTAGCATAGATTTCTTTTTCTTTCTATCTTTTTTTTTCTTTGTGCTGTGTCTGGCCGCCGGTGAGTTTTTCGATCCACCCAGCAGGATGTTGTTAACGTGGCAGCGGCGGGTCAGAAGGTCATCTGCGGGCAGCGTCTGGACGCGGTGTTGGCAGACAGGGTGGAGTGTGTGTGTGATGCCAGCCATTGTTCTTACTCAAGTGATCTGTTGTCTTTCCCCTTGTTCTCTGTGATTTTATGTGCGTCTATTTATTTAAACACTTTAAAGGTGAACGTGCAGATTGTTGGATGTTAAAATTAACACTTTTTACCGTTTTTGGGTTCAGAACATGGAAGAAAATTATAGTTGAGTACACGTCTATAGAGGTACATGGAAAACCATAGCAAATATAATTTTTGTGTTTCTATTTTCTCTAAAAGCAAAAGAAAAAATCCACAATGCAAAAAAAGAGGAAAAATTATATAAAGGGGCGGGAGAGAGAAAGATGTTAAAGTATAGTGTTAGAAAATTCTCTTTTGCTCACCAAGGATGCATTTATTTAATCACAAATACAGTAAATATATGCCCAATATTTTGTGGAATCTGTGATGCATTTCATTTTTCAGGATTCCTTGATGAATCAAAAGTTCAAAAGAACAGTTTTTCTTTCAAATATAATTATTTTGCAACATAAATGTCTTTAATCACATGATCTTCAGAAATCATTCTAATATGCTGATTTGCTGCTCAAGAAACATTTTTGATTATTATCAGTGTTGAAAACACTTGTGCTGCCCAATATTTTGTGGAATCTGTGATGCATTTCATTTTTCAGGATTCCTTGATGAATCAAAAGTTCAAAAGAACAGTTTTTCTTTCAAATATAATTATTTTGCAACATAAATGTCTTTAATGTCACTTTTGATCAATTTAATGCAATAAAAATATTAATTTATTTTAAAAAATATTGCATGTACATTACATGTAAAAAAAACAAAAAAAAACAAAACTAGATTTATGATGATATTTATTGTGGTGAATTATACTCATACTGGAAAGGGTCCAGACAACAGTGTGAGGTCAGCCAATCACAACGGAGCTCATTTGCATACTAGACTGACAGGTGTTTATAATGAGTTTGAGTTGAAGAATCTTCTCCCGTCAGAGTTGTGTGAAATAATTGTTGGCATGAATAATTTATTTTAGTTACAAACACACACACACACACACACACACACACACATGCAGTCTACATCTCTAATCCAAGACTTCACTGACCACTTAAGTGTGTGTGTGTGTGTGTGTGTGTCAGGCGAGTGATTTTTGTAGCTGTAGAGTTTGTCACCTGATACACAATATCCTGCCAGATTCACATGCCCTGTGGCACAGACACACACACACACACACACACACACACAATCTGGGTGTTTGGCTGGTGTGTTTATATTGTGTGTTGTTGTTCTGTTTGTTGTGGATGTGTGTATGTGTGTGTGTCTCATTGTGAGCGGATGTTTCTGCGCACTGTAAACTTTTATTGTCTTTAATACAGAGCAGAAGGAAGTGATACACCGTGTGTGTGTGTGTGTGTGTGTGTGTGTGTTTTATCACGTTCACTCTTCCCAATATTCCCACAAAATAGACTTAATTTCCAATAAGGTCAGAGTCAGTCTGTCTGTTTCCGTCTTGGAGGTGTGTGTGTGTGCGCGTGTGTCTTACTTAACTGTACTTTGACCCTGAAGTTAAATTGGTAACACTTTACAGTAAGATCTCCTTTGTTAGCATTAGTTAATGCATTAGTTTACATGACCTAACAATGAGCAATATATATATATATATATATATATTTATATATATATTAACAGCATTTATTAATCTTTGTTAATGTTATCTTTGTAATCTTTGTCAACATATTAACTGATGATGATGCACTTTTTGGTTTTAAAAAATCATTAACAAATGTTGAAATTAACAATAAGATTGCAAAATACTGTAGAAGTATAGTTCATTGCTAGTTCACGTTAGCTAATAATGCTAATGTTGACGACTTAGAATGTTACTGGTAAATCTGACTAAACCTTGCTTTTGAGGATAAGATGCACAAAGATTCATAAGTAATTTTTTTTTAGTATTTGTTATAGTCTATAGTCATTATCATTTATGTAAACATAGCGGAAATCAATAGCATTAACTCATTTAAATAGATTAAATGTATGAGTGTGTATGTAAGTATGTATATGTACTTTTTGATTTTGTTAGTTGTTAGTAAATGTTGAGATTAACATTAAGATTCATAAATGCTGTAGAATTATTGTTCATGTTTTTGTAGGCCGTTAACTAAACTAAACCTACTAAACTTTGTGGTAATGCTTTACTTAAAGCCTTTATATATATATAATGCATTATAAAAGTAGTTTTAATGCATTAATTGTGCCTTGTAATGCACATTTTAATGCATTGTATGATGAAGTATAATGCATTAAAACACATGACAGACAAACCTTTATATGTAATGCATTTTATCTTTGCATTTTAACTAACAATTATTTATGAAAAGATATCATGCTTCACAACTTTCATTATGAATAACTTTATAATGCATTATACATTAAGGTTTTATGTAAAGTGTTGTTTTGATAACTGAGACTAAAATTATTAATAAAACAGTAAATATTATTCTCTTTTATAATTTGTGTAATAGTCATTATAATTTATATAAAAATAGCAAAAATCAATAGCATGACCTGATTTAAATAGATCAAAAGTGTGTGTGTGTGTCTTTATTTTGGGTGGAAACACTGATTTCATGTTTTTTGCATCATATGTTTTGACTCCTATGCATCTCTATAGTGTGTGTGTGTGAATGATCAGTGGTCTGTCTGCGACGGGTCAGATATTGTAGACATGTCTAGTTACTGCAGAACAAAAGGCCTCCAGCAGGCCAGACACTGAGCGCTCGCTCCCCTGAGCTACGTGTGGCCCGACAAGAGCAGAGAGCGAGCGAGAGAGACCCCGGCAGATCTGACACAGAACAATGAGGAGGTCAGACACCCCTCCCTTTCCTGTGATTGTCAACCACACACACAGCTCCTACCTGCTCGCTCGCTCTCTCTGTCGTAACGCTGGAATGAGGAGGTCAGTGAGGGAATCTTGGATGCGGATTCGTCTGTTGGGAGTTGAGGAATTTGTGGGAGGATGCTTGTTGGCCGATTCAAGTGACTGTATCATGACGTGTCGTGTTACAAAACCCACCGCTTTAGAGATAAAATACAACTATTTTAAAGTACATGTGTGCATGTGAGAGAGATATACAGTGTCTTATCAGTGCATCACTAGTACTGCTACTCATAGTGTTTAGAGTTTGTGCTTCAATCATTTGTCTTGTTGTTTATTTACTAAGCAACTGCATAGCAACTCCCTGGTGACAAACTGGAACAGCCTAGCAACTGCATAGCAACCACCTGGTGACTTCATAGCAACTGCCTGGTTACAAACTATAACAGCCTAGTAACCACATAGCAACTCTCTGGTGACCAACCAGAATAGCCTCATAACCACATAGCAACTCCCTGGTGACCAATCAAAACAGCCTAGCAACCGCATAGCAGCTCCCTGGTGACCAACTAGAACAGCTTAGCAACTGCCTAGTGACCTACCAGAATAGCCTAGCAACTGCCTGGTGACAAACCATATCAGTGACCACATAGCAACTCCCTGGTGACCAACCAAAACAGTCTAGTAACCGCATAGCAACTCCCTGGTGACAAACCAAAACAGCCTAGTAACCGCATAGCAACTCCCTGGTGATCAACCAAAACAGTCTAGTAACCGCATAGCAACTCCCTGGTGACAAACCAAAACAGCCTAGTAACCGCATAGCAACTCCCTGGTGATCAACCAAAACAGTCTAGTAACCGCATAGCAACTCCCTGGTGACAAACCAAAACAGCCTAGTAACTGCATAGCAACTCTCTGGTGACCAACCAGAACAGCTTAGTAACCGCATAGCAACTCCCTGGTGACCAACCGGAACAGCCTAGTAACCACATAGCAACTCCCCAGTGAACAACCGGAACAGCCTAGTAACCACATAGCAACTCCCCGGTGACCAACCGGAACAGCCTAGTAACGACATAGCAACTCCCCGGTGACCAACCGGAACAGCCTAGTAACCATATAGCAACTCCCTGGTGACCAACCGGAACAGCCTAGTAACCACATAGCAACTCCCCGGTGACCAACCGGAACAGCCTAGTAACCATATAGCAACTCCCTGGTGACCAACTGGAACAGCCTAGCAACTGCATGATGACTTCATAGCAACTCCCTGGTGGCAAATCAGAACAGCCTAGTAAACTCATACCAACTGCCTAGTGACAAACCAGAACAGCCTAGTAACCGCATAGCAACTGCCTAGTGACAAATCAGAACAGCATAGCAACTGCATAGAAATGCCTTAGCAACCACTCTCAGCACGGTAGCAAAAGAATAGAAATGTGTTAGAAATCTGTGTAGAATTCCGATGATTCGGAATCTGAAAATGCAGTGATGTAGTTTTGTTTGCTAGTTGAGGAGTGTGTTTGAGTGTGAGATCATGTGCCGACTCTTTACCTAATTGGGCCTGAGAGAGCCATGATGTCTATCCCATCATAAACACTCAGAGACTCGAACCCGCGTCACCTGGCAACCAGACCAACACACTCGCTGCAGACTCGTCCTAAAGAACGTAAAGCGCAGGCTGCTGTAAACAACACATAGGTCACTGCTGAACTCACTTCATACACACTCCGAGAGATTGTGTGCTACACTCTTCATCTGGGGAGCTAAAGAATCCACACTGAAATTAAACAAGAATTGACTTGGATTCTGCAGCAGCCAGAATGTGTTTTTATGGCTATTTTTTTTAAGCCTTTGTTTTAGTGGTCAATAATTTTTCTCCAGGTGTCCAGAATCTGGAAATATCAGGGAATGTTAAAACTCTGATTCCCAGGCCTGTGAAAGTCATGGAAATTAAAGGGGTCATATGATGCGATTTCAAGTTTTCCTTTGTCTTTGGAGTGTTACAAGCTGTTCATGCATTTATAAGATCCGAAAGTTGCAAAGACTAAAGTCTCAAACCCAAAGAGATATTCTTTATAAAAGTTAAGACTCGTCCACGCCCTCCTAAAACGGCATGTTCTAACACGCCCCCACATGTCTACGTCACTGTGTGGGAAGTTTTGCATAACACCGCCCAAATGTTCACGCAAAGAAAGAAGGGGTAACTTTTATTCTCGCTGTAGTATTGTTGCCGCCGCCGCAATGTTGTAGAGATGCTGTGTGTTTCCAAATATGGTAAGGGGCGTAACATTTCCGTCACACGCTTGAGGTATTCGGCCAATCACAACCACTGGATAGCTGGCCAATCAGAGCACACCTCGCTTTTCAGAACTTTGTAAAGAACTTTTCAGAACTTTGTTTTTTTTTTAGCTTTGTAAACATCGACACGTTTCAGAAAGGCGGGGCAGAGAGGAGCAAAAATAATGTACAGTATGTGGAAATAATGTAGAATAATTTTTTTAACCTTAAAAAACAGAACTACCACATTTTGCTATGAGTTTAAACACATTGCATTACACCAAATACACAAAATAATGCTTTTTTAGCATTGTCATATGACACCTTTAAACATTTCCATAGTAAATATAGATTTTTCCTAGTCATGCTCATTGCAATTCAATTCAAGTTTATTTGTATAGCGCTTTTCACGATACAAATTGTTCAAAACTATTGCATTGACTGGAAATTGCAGTTTGTGGGTGTAACAACTATAAAATGATTCTTACAAATGCTTATCCAGTAACTGTGTTATTTTAGTATTTATATACCTGTGCTATTATAGTATTTATTATTCATTTTAAATTTGAAATGTTGTCTTTGCAACTAACTGAAATATACTAAGTTTTTTATCTAATACTTATATTTTATATGAATTCAGCTATATTTCGATTAACGAAAATTATATCTTATAGTTTGTTAACCAGTGATCATGAACAGCTGAAAAAAAGTCATGGAAATGTATTGGTCTAAAGGTGTGGGAACCCTGATTCTCAGTCCCTCTTTCTCTTAGGAAATCCTTTTTGTGTGTGTGTGTGTGTGTGTGCGCGCGCAGTTGCTTCGATTGGAGGGTGTCCAGTCTCTCTCTCTTTGCGCATGCCAAGTGTTGGGCTCTTTGACTGATGGTTCATTGTCTTCCTCATTCCACCCGCTAGCGGCGCAGGAATTCCTGTGTCACTTTCCCTCTTGGAATTCCGCCTCATCATCCGGAATGTCGTGACACAGACTCATGAACAGGAAAAGGGTCACGTTAATACCAGAGGTGACGGCTTCAGTCATCCGGCAATAGTCAGGCTAACAAAGAGCTTTCTCTGTCCGGTGGACGCTAAGTTTAGAATCACAGATCTCACACGGGACGCTCCGGCTTTCTTCAAACAGCCTGCAAATTTCAGATTTTTTATTTATTTATTTTTTTTGGTGAATCCGCATCGCATGTTGTCTTAACAGCAAAATAAAAGCATGAAATTTGAAGTTTCTGTTTTACCAAATCAAAATTGTTCATCCTACCTTCAGAAATCATCTGGATACTTTAGCTAGATACAGAATTTATGGACTTCGTTAAATATGTAAAACACTTTTCAAGGAATTATTGGAAAGCAGCTTTTGAATTATTTGCAGATTTTTCCAGCTTATTTCCATGATAAATATATTTTGTATATAAATACACACACACATACACAAACAATTATGCTAAAAAAAATAAATAAATAAAATAAAAATATATATAATATATTTTTGAACATAATTGTAAGACACTCCATCAGCTTATATATGCAGTATATATATATATATATATATATATATATATGAAAACCACTTTCTTAGAAATGATTTGAAATCAGCCGTTTGAATTCTTTCCAGATGTCTGGGTTTTAAAGCTGATGGAGACCTGTAGAGTCTCTCTGGCTAATCTTTCTGAAATTAGTTCTGCTCGGACTGTTTAAATCAGAGGATGTAATATTCTCTCTGTCACGGTTCGTCAGTGTCCTGTGACAGGAAACGTCCTCGCTCACTTTAGGTTAATGTCCGCTTTCATAATCCACGGCGTTTGAAATCCCATAACCCTCTAATATAATCTTGTGCAGGGAAAGTTGATGTTGTTTCTGTGGGGGAAGGTTTTGTGTCGTTTTATTGGCACGAGTGAATGTTGAGCTCAGGTTCTGTGGGTATAGATCTCGTTAGCGGTGATGGTCGTGATGATTTCAGGACCGATGTCAAGCGTAATCCTACCCTCCTTGACAAATCTAAACTCTCTTGGACCCTTAAACGACTTCCCCTGGATAGAAGAGAGAGTCTTTCTGTGTATCAGCTTTGGTGGCTAATTAGAAATAATAAATATTGCTTGTCAAAAAGTCAAGTAAAACACATAATTTTATATATTTTTCTCACATTACATTTTAAAACTGAAAGTCCCACTGGGCAAAATAAACATGTCTTCTTTTGTGCCTTTTGTGTTTTTTTAGCAAGCTAACCAATTTGCCTATAAATATATAATTACTTTTTATCATATATATATATATATATATATATAT